GCAAAAAAAAAAAAAAAAAAAAAAAAAAAAAGAGAAGCCTGCAGCTGCAGGGCAAAAGCACAAGAGCTTTCCTGGACCCTCACTTGGCGAATCTGGGCACTGCCCACCGGCTTGGAGTTCCCATCAGTGATAAAGCCTGGTGATGAGAAACAAGTGGATAAATCTAGCCATCAACATCATCTTAACACATCCCAAGCTTTCTGGCCTGGATGCTAACGTGAATTTCAGTGTACCCGTTGTAGAATTAGCCAAGAGAAGTTCATGGCCAGCCACAGACTACATTCAACCATTCATCACCATCTCCCCACCTTGGACCTGGTCTACTCCTTGCATAACTTCTCTTGGGGAATGGCAACTCCTATCCAGTCATCAACTTGGAGACCATTTATGTCCTTTCCCTCGATGCCCACATCCTAAGGGTCAACGAGGCCCACCAATAGTACCTTTTCAATGTTGTCTGCACCCACCCCGTCTCTCCATCACCTCTGCCCCCATCCCTACATCAGTCGCATCATTTTTGCCCAGCATCCTAACTTACCTACCCTCAACTCCAACTCCCAATGCAGCTTATACCACAGATTTGATTATGTTACTGCCTCACCGAGAAGCTGTCAATGGCTCCTCACTTCCTTAAGCATAAACTATGAGCTTCCAGAGCCTTCATGATCTGGCCCCTGTTCCTCTCTCCTGCTCTGCTTTTCGTGGGTCCTCAACTCCTACCGTACACTGAAGTCACACTCAACGCTCTGTAGTTCCAGGAAGTATAGTGCCTCGGTGTTTCAGGCTTGCCTTTTCTCATGTTGTCCCTTCTGCCTGGCACACCATTTCTGCCTGGCCAATTCATGCTCAGTTATCTAAGAAGGAGGTCCTCCACTCTGCATCCAGCGAGGGCTAGGGACCTTCAGAGGGTCTCTCCTTCAAAGCATATGGCTCTGTGGTTATTGGTTCTCTGTAAGGCTGAAGTTGACAGTGACCCACAACTGTTCCCAGAAGGGAGCTGACCCACGTCCTGGGGTGGGTGGCCGGTACCTGGGTGATGACTGTCCAGGTTGCTCACGAGGGTGGTGTTGGCCCATGTGAACAAGTCCTGAAAGTCCAGCATGGCTGAAAAGCCTCGGGTGAAGCTGTGCCCAAGGTGTCTGTTGAAGTGGTAGGCGCTGGGGTCCCCCTGCCCGTAGGCCACCAGCAGCGGCATCCACAGGGAGCCCAGGTGCGCTGGGAAGGGAGGCACAGCCCCTGGTCAGGCAGAGGCCCCAGCTCCTACCAAGTCCAGGGCAGGAACTGGAAAGGCACATGGCTCAGAACAGTTGAGGTCTTGTAGACCAGCCACTCGCCCCCCTGGTGACAAAGGAATCAGTCCTTATAAGGACAGCAGAAAGTAGTAAAGTTCACAGGCCATGAGCCTCCTGCCTGGATTCAAATCCCAGCTCTGCCACTTCCTATCCATGTGCCCTTCACAAGTGACTTAACCCCTCTGTGCCTCACTCTCCTCGTCTGTGAAATGGGGATAATTCTGTCACACAGGGTTGTGATGAGGGAGTGAACAAATTAATATTTATAAAGCACTTAAAATAGTGCCTGAACGGACTTTGTGCTGTATGAATGTTTCTTAAATAGAATTTTTTAAAATGGGGCTCTGGGGAGTTCCCTGGCGGTCCAGTGGTTAGGTCTCGGAGCATCCACTGCAGGAGGCAGGGGTTCAATCCCTGGTCGGAGAACTAAGGTCCCACATGCTGCATGGTGTGGCAAAAAAAAAAAAAAAATGAGGCTCTGCCATGTTGCAGTGCTGAAGATAGAGCAATAAAGATGACAGACGTGTTCCCTGCCCTCGTGGAGCACACCTGTAGACAGGTGAGTGTGACCTAAGGGCCCATTAGGTACAAAGATTTAGTTTAGCAGGCCTGACATCAGAATCATGTTGAGGGATGCAGAATGTTACTGAACCAGAATCTCTGAGCCCAGGGCCTGGGAATCTGCATTCTGGCGCCCCCACTCCAAGATGACTTGTTGGGGTTCTGCCCACATCTGTCTTGTTCTTCATTCTGTACATGCAGCTCCTACGCAAGCTCCACCACTCTGTGGTTTGGCCACATGGGCTCTCCGTGGGAGGCCAGGCCAGGGCTGCAGCAGGGTCAGCGCCCTCCTCGGAAGCAACCCTCACCAGTGACCTGGTAGGTGGCAACTGGGGGGTACGTACTACCCTCGCCCTTCCCGAGGTCTCAGCAGGACTGAGCCCCAGTTGCCCACATGGAACCCACTCACCAACCGCCTTCCATCGGCTTCCGTCTCTTTCCTGCACTTTTTCCTACCAGTGCTTCTCAGGATCGCCTCCCAAACCAACTACTTGTGCCCAGATCTGCCCGTGGGGGAACCCAGACTAAGACACACAGTGAGGTTTGAAAGCCTCTGGTCAGCGGGCCAGAGGAGCCTCTCTGACGACACAGCCTGTGGGCTGAGAATTGAAGAATAAAAGGAATTAACCAGAGGAAGAGGCAGGGAGGAGGGTGCGCACATTCCAGGCAGACTAGATGCCACAGGGCCTGGGTCAGGAGCTGCAGGACACAGTGTCACTGGAGCTGAGGGCACAAGGGTCCGAGAGAGGTGACCTGGATGGGTGGAGCACAGCAGGGAGTTTGGACGTTATCCAGGGGCCTGGAAGAGCCACGGAAGGATTTTAAGTTTAGGGGAGAAGCTGGGGAGAGTTGATATCTGGGGCGATGGGCCCAGAAGCAGTGTGGGCCTGTCAGAGATTGTACCACTTCTGCTCAAATCTATGTTGAGAACCAGCGAGTGGGAAGTTTGCTCATAAGTAATCTTGGCTGCCTACCCAAGATTTCTCTGATTAAGGCAAGTGCTTTCTGTTCCTTGAGGTGGGTGGTTTTCATCTTCTCAACGTCAGAGGCCAGAGGCTTCTGGTAGATGTCCCTTCTACTGTTTCTTCGTGCTTGGAACAAGGCAGAGGGGTCTGTGAAAGCAAGGGCACAAGGGCAGTCCCCCAAATGGGCAGTGGAACCAGCTTGTACGTTTGCAACCAAGAGACTCCCCTCACTAGGTACAACGGGATCCACTGTTCCTCCTCCTTGGGAGCCATTTCCCAGCGCTACCCTCCATGCCTCTGCCCGTGCCGTCCCAGTGCTCAGAACTCCGTCCCTTCTTCTCCAGCTGGAGAATTCTCCTCATACTGAAAGCAGATACCTTCCTCACCTGAAGTCTTACTGATTCCTGGATGCTGTCTTTCTGTGTTCCTGAACTCTAAGATGGATCCCAGTACTTCCAAAACTTGGAAGGATGGAAGGATGAAAGTTACTAATATCTCAAAGTCCTGTTATATGAAATTCCAAGTATCTTCTTTTTCAAACCACCTTATTGACTTATAATTTTCATAATTTCACCTGTTGGAAGCCTGCAATTCAGTGATTTTAGTAAATTTCTAGAGTTGTGCCACCATCACCATAACCTAGTTTTAGAACATTTCTGTAACCCCTAAAGGTTTCCTCATGTCCCTAAAATTGGTCTCTACTCCCACTCTATCCCCACCCTTAGCCCCATTAATTTTCTGTCTTCATAGATTCTTTTTTTCTGGACTTTTCATATAAACGGAATCATATGTACATAGTTTCTTGTATCTGGCATCTTTCACTTAACACGATGGGTTGGTGTGTGTCCATGTTGTGTATATTAGTAGTTAGTTTCTTTTTCTTTTCCTTTCTTTTTCTTTTTTTTATCTCCCGCGCCACGTAGCTTGCAGGACCTGATTTCCCTGACCAGGGATCAGACCTGGGCCCCCTGCAGTGGAAGCGCAGAGTCCTAACCAGTGGACCGCCGGGGAATTCCCTGTAGTTAGTTTCTTTTTATTGTTGAGTAATATTCCATTGTACGGACATACTACCTTTTGTTTATCCATTCACCTGTTAATGGACATTTGGATTACTCCTAGTTTGGTCTATTAAGAATAATGTTGCTATGAATGTGTTGTGTGGACATATATTTTCATTTCTCCTGGGTAGATTCCTAGGAGTGGCTAAATATCTTTTGACTGTTACAAATGAAGCTTCTGTGAACATTTGTGTACAAGTTCCTGTATGAAAATAATTCTTCATTTCTCTGGGATAAATGCCCAAGAGTGTAATTTCTGGGGTGTATGGTAAGCCCATTTTTAGTTTTGAAAGGAACTGCCAAACTTTTCCAGAATGGCTGTACCATTTTACATTCCCAGCAGCAATGTATGAATGCTCCAATTTCTCTGCATCCTTGTCAACATTTGGTGTTATCACTCTTTTTAGCCAGTCTGATAGGGGTATATTGACCCAGCTATCCTTTGGATCCATGCCCCTCTGTCCACCCCCACTGCTAATGCATGCCACCTCTAGTCTGGACCATTTCAGTAGTCTTCCTACTGGCCTCCGCACTTCTACTTTTGACCCAATACCTCTGGTCTCCAAGAGCAGTCACAAAATCACAAGTCCAATCATGCTGCTCTCCTATTTCAAACACTCCAAAACCCCGGCATTGCCCCGGGCCCTACAGGGCCCTGTATGACCTGCTCCCCATCCACCTCTCTGCCCTCATCTTGAAGCATTCCTTCCATGCACACACAGCTCCCCATGCTCTGGCCACCCTGTCAGTAATTGCTATAAAATGACAAGCTCTTGTCCCACCTCAGGGCCTTTGCACATGCCCAGTGTTCAGACCCTCCCTCTCCCATCCTCTAGGAGCCACCCTCTTATTCTACCCCCTCATTCTCTCTTACAAGTCATTTTGTGCATTTACTTGTTTAATGTGTCTTCCCAGATGGGCTGTTCATTCCAAGAGCAGCAACCTGTTCCATCCAGTCAGTGCTGTGTTGCCAGGGCTGAGGCTGAGAGTGGGGATTGACTTCAAATGGGCAAGAGGGAACTTTTGGGGGTAAGTTCCAAAAAGCTATTCTAAATCTGAATTGTGGTGATAGTTGCACAACTCTATAAATTTGCTAAAATCAGTAGTTATACACTTACAATGACTGGATTTTATGTAAATCATGTTCCGAAGCCATTGTACTACCTGGCACACAGAAAGTACTCCCTGGATAATTGCCAAAGGAATTACTGAATGAATATTTGATTGGTCAGGAGGCTATCGTCTCTGGAGAAAAATTACTCTTTTGACTTGGGAAGACGGTTTTAATGGACTTTTTGGATCTACAAAGCCAAATCCCTATTGTAGGGCAGAAGAATACAGTCCCATGAAGAGATCACCACACTGCATGATGATGTAGGGATGTGGGCTTTCGTTTGTTCCCGTTTTACTTTCCCTGAAAGTTAAAATCTCTGTATAGACTATTAGAGTGTTGAATCTGTTCTGTTTGCTTGTTTGTTTTTTGTATCTCTTATTGGAGACACCGTCAGGAGTTTTGGCTGGGAAGTGAGAAATCAGGTTAGGGGGAAGAGGGCTGGTCGTGGGCTCCTCTGACCAGTCAGCCTGGCTGTGTTCCACTAAAACTCTTTACAAAAACAGGCGCTGGGCTAGATTTGGCCCCCTGGCTGTTGTTTGCAGACCTTTGTCTTAGAACCCTAATTATAACTCCCTCCCACCCCTCACGCACACAAGCTTGTTGTTTTTTGGTTGTCTAATGACCTGAGCCCTGGGGAAGAAAGCTGCTTGCTTGGGATTACACAGAGGATGATGGCCCTTGAAGAACGTGGACCCCATGGTGCCTCTTCATGCTTAGGTGTCAGAGAGAAGGGCTCGGATAGGGGAGGAACAGGTTGCCCAAGAGACAGAGGAAGAGTCACTTGTCCCTGGATGGATTGGGGGTGCTTCAATAGTCAGGGTGAAGGCTGATGGGGAGCGAAGGTCTGAGGCCGGGACCACCCAGTGTCTGGGCTCCACGGGGCTTTCTCAGCCTTGTCAGGTTCCAGAGCCCTGCCTGCACCCGGGCACCATTACCTGGGCCAGAGACACGTCCCGGGAGGGGAGCCACAGGCTCCTCCTCGTCCTCCACTGTCTTCAACACCAGCGCAAAGAAAGCAGCGAACCCCAGCACCTGGAAGACACCCACTGTGAACCCCAAGCCTGGGTTGGAAACTCCCTATCAATTCCTGGTCTGAGCTCGGTTAGAACAGGAGCCACACTTGTGTCCTGGGTGCAGGAGCCATGCTCTGGGGAAGCCATCCTCTGCAGAGAGGGGACGTGGTCATAAAGGGTCAGAGGCAGGGCTTGCGTGCCTGGCCACCAACCAGGCAGAGACAGGCAAATCCTTGAACTCACGCTGCTTCCGGCATTCTCCGAGCCCTCCCACCTGCTGGCCTTTCTCTTACCCCTCAGCCTGGTGACTCACTAGCATAGCTGCTTATACCTGCCTCCTCCCTCCTTCCCTCCCTCCTTTTCTTTCTGTGTTAAGTAATTCCTTCCATTACATTGTCTCTGCACCTTCAGTGCACAAGCACGGTAGGATTTTGTGGTTTGATTGGGGAACAAAAAGGTTCAGGACTCTGTTCTTAATATTCTCAGACTAGATTGGAGGAGGTGTCAGGAGCTGTTTAAGTCTCTGACGAAGGCTGTTCAGGGCAGAATGAGGGTGGGGGATTCTGTGATGCCTCGTAGGTGGAAGGATTTTCTCTAAATATTCCCTCACTTCTGCAGCTCCCCCGACACAGTATTCCTACTGCCTGGCTCCTTCCAGGCGGGGCTCAGGGTCTCTTTGACTCTCACTGCTCTCTTGCGTAATTTTACATTTTCAGAAATAGGAGCGTATTTCCAGTTCATGCACACATTTAATGGCTTGGTGGTTTTTTTTCTGAAGGTAAAGTTTATGTAAGTTGCTGGCTCATCTCACAATCAAAAGCATCCTAGACCTGAGGAAATATGATATCATTCCTATTTATACATGTGGCCTAAGGGCAAGATTTTTTGGTGACCTTATTCTCTTAACCTCAGGTTTTCTCATCTGTAAAATGGAGGTGAGGCCCCTCCTAAGCGTGATTGTGATGATGAAATGTCAGCATCTGGCCCTGAGGGAACGTGGGTTATCCTGGTAATTACCTTCCTGCCCCAGGTCCACCCAGAAGTGGTGCTCTAAGTGGGTTTGTTGAATGAATAGATTGAATAGATGAAGGAATTGCTGAGGCCTAAGAACTGGGCAGCTGGCAGGAGGGAAATCATGGGCGGAGGGAAGGAGGGCAGGAGGGCAGCCACACAGGGGGTCCTGACCTTCAGGGGCTGGGTGACAAACACACTCTCCACGAAGGGGACGGCCCTGGAGATGAGCCACCTGAGGGGGCTGGCCCGCCTGTAGTGCAGGCCATAGGAGCCTGGTGAAGAAGGCTGCCACCAGGAGCCAGCCCACCAGGACACACCAGCAGGGGAGGCCTCAAGGGGACTTGCTCACCTGCAGGGAGCTGCAAGAGAGGATGGGTATAATCAGGGGGGCACCATTTGGGCTCCAGTTCAAACCCAGCCCCAACCCTACCAGCTGCGTGACCTTGGCCAAGCTCCTTGACCCCTCAGACCGTCAGTATTCTCCTCTATCCTATTCTGTATTCTATCCGGTACACATACATATATTCTATTCAGGTCACCTTTATTCAGTGCTTACTAGGAGCCAGTCCCCATGCAAACTGCTTTATACAAGTTTTCTCTGTTATTCCTCATGGCAAGCCTAGAAGGCTGGTACCTAAGTTTTTATTATGAAAATTCCCCATTATACGGAAATCAGTGAGTACAGTGAACCCTCATCAACTACTTTCAACAACCATCACCTCCTTGTCAAATGTGTATCATCTATCCCCACATGCTTTCTTTTTTTTCTGGAATATTTAAAAATAAATTTCATACATAATATAAAATCATCACCAATTATTTTAGAATACATCTCAAAAAAGTGGTCATTTTTTCACTGAATTATGGTGCTGTTGTTGGGGAAGATAAAAAATTTCCCTCTACCCTTTCTGGATTCTTCTGGCTGGTCTAAATTAATACGAGACAGATTAACAGGAGAAAAAAAAATTTAATTACATACGTATAGGTGCTCCAGAAGAATATAAGGCTCAAGGACAAGTTAGGCAACTGAGGGTTATGTGGCATCTCAGAGAAAAAGGGGGTAGGGGTTTGGGACCTCAAAGGGGAGGAAGGCAGTTCACATGGAGATGAAAGCAAATGTTTGGTAAACAAAATGTTTGCTATGCCAGCAGTGACAATGGGACCCTGGAGAGGACTTTGGTCTCCAGGCCCTTCTACCCTTAGCCCACATGCTGCTCTTCATGGACCAGGCCATTTTAAATTCTTCTTAGGTTTGAACCAGGAGATAGGCATTATCATTCCCATGTTACAGGTAAGGAAACTATGGCTCATAGAGGATGAGGGGCTTGTCCAAGAGTACAGCTAGGAAACACCCACGTGAAAATGGTTATAAACTGTAAAGTGCTGTACAAAGGGCTCTAACCGTCATCTGGCAAAATCACCCTGTTCAAAGTCCTCTTCCCAGAATTTGTGCAGTCCATAATCACTGCTTCTTGGGAAGATCTGGATGAATAACCTTCCAAGGTACCGGGATGTGCTCTCCGTGCAGGCCCCAGGCTGGGAGCACCCAAGGGAGTGTGCTGGAGGCGGGGTTCCGGGCTGTCCCCCCAGGCAGCCCTTCAAGGTCTGCAGCTACCCCAGTGCCTGTGTGTGGCTCTGGACCTGGGAAAAGCCCTGGGGCTCCAGCAACAGCAGCTCTTGCTCTAAGTGCTCCAGCTGAAGGTAGAGACACTGCCTGTAGGCACTGTCCTTCCCAGTGTCTCTTGGGCCCACCTCGGGCCTGGGGCACTGCATTTCTTCTGGAGGACAAGGGAGAGAAAGAGCATCAGCTGGTGCTGAGTGACAGAGCAGACCGCGTGCAATAGAAACAGGAGTGTTAGTAATGGCTTTCTTGTATCGATCGCTTACTGTGTGCCAAACCATGGGGAATCTGAGGTTCAGAAAGATGGGATACTTGGCTCATATGGTCAGTTAGGAGTTGAATGTTCCTCTTTTAGTCTTTTATCAAGGGCATTTTCAAAATTTCCTTACACGTAGAAGAGACAAGAATAGTATACCCATTGCCCTCCTGCAGCAATTACCCACATTTTGCCAAAATTGTCTCGCCTCAGCCCTCCAATTTTTTTTTTCCTGCAGTACCTTAAGCAAATCCTAGACATAATGTTCTCTTATCAGCAAATATTTTAATACGTACAAGATTTGAATTTGAACCCAAGTTTGCCTGTTGCCAAAGATGGTATAAGTCTTAATCGTTTGTTTTTAACTTTTTATTATGAAATAATTTAAATTACGAAAGTAAAGAGAATGATGAGATGAACCTATACCCATTGCTCAAAATTATCGCCTCATCCTGTCACCAGTCCTGTTTTGCCTGCACCCCACCCACCCTCTCCGTGTGGATTATTTTGAAGTAAATTCCAAGCCCCACGTGCTGACACTAAATATTTTAATATGCTTCTATGGAAGAAGAGGACTCCTTTTAAAAACAAAACCACAATGTGTCATTATCAATTTTTAAAACAATAATGATAGTCCCTTAATAGCGTGAAACAACCAGTCAGTGGAGAAGTTTCTCCCCGTTATCTCTGAAGGTTTTTCTACAGTTCGTTTGTTCAAATTTCAGTTTCCTTAAGTTTTTTTTTTTTTAAAAAAAAACAAAGGTGTTGGGCTTCCCTGGTGGCGCAGTGGTTACGAATCCATCTGCCAGTGCAGGGGACACGGGTTCGAGCCCTGGTCCGGGGAGATCCCACATGCCGCGGAGCAGCTAAGCCCGCGCACCACAAATACTGAGACTGCTCTCTACAGCCCGTGAGCCTCAAGTACTGAAGCCCACAGGCCTAGAACCTGTGCTCCGCAACAAGAGAAGCCACCACAATGAGAAGCCCGTGCACCGCAATGAAGAGTAGCCCCCGCTCGCCGCAACTAGAGAAAGCCCATGCACAGCAACAAAAACCCAACACAGCCAAAAATAAATAAATAAATAAATTTATTTTAAAAAAACATTGATATTTAAAACAAAAAAACTAAAAAAAAAAGGTGTTTTTTGTTTTAAATTACAGAGGTAATACATATTCATTGCAAGAAAAAAACAAATTTGAACCTTTTCATTATTCCCTGAGCCTTCTAAGGGAAGCTTGGACTCTCCAGCTGGAACCAGGCCTGGGTCCCTGGAGCCTGAGCTGGGAGGCCGGTGCCCAGGGGCACATTCTCCTGGGACAGGAAGGGCCCAGGTCTGGACCAGTGTGCATCTTCACAAGGGGTGCGTGAAACTGGATATAGAGCACGGCAAAATGGAGCACCCTGACCCCAGGACCCCTCTCCAGTCACCAGTGAGAAGTGAATGAGAAAATAACAAGTGATGTGGAGAAGGCTGTGGCTCAGACCCGATGTTGGTAAAGACCTGGCAGCATTGACTCTGACTCCCTCTGACTCAGGCCTCCTACCTCCCCCTCCCTCGTGGGCCTCCATCACTGAAGCCACAGCTAATGGTTCCAGCATCAACAGCCTTCGTAAGCGTTCTGGCAATGTTTCCGGAAGATACCATCATTTGCAATCATAAACACTTACTGAATCCTTGCTTTGTGTCAGACTCGTATGATCTCATTCAGTCCTCAAAACAAGCCAAGGAGCTGGGTAGATCAGTGCTTCTGTTTTATAGGGGGGAGGAAATAGTCTCAGAGAGGTTAAACAACTGTCCAAAGTTGCACAGCTGCTTTTGCATCTGGGAGAGCCCCAGATCTGGCCAACTCCAGAGTCCTGGTTCTAAGGCCCATGCTGTGAATGCCAAAGTGCCCCAAACCCCAAAGACCCCAAACAGGGCCAAGTGTCCAGCATGGGCATCAGCAGAGCTACTGCAGGGACGACCTTCATGGGCAGCCCAAGCCAAGCTCTTCAGGGCTAATGCTCCAGAGTGGCTGGAACACGGGGGTCAAAGTAGGGCTGACCATGGGGTCAGCATAGGCCTGGCCAGGAGGGAGTGCTACAGTAAGGACTGGTCTTGAGGACAGTGGCTCTCAACATTCAGTGTGCATAACAGTCACAAAAGTGACTGGTAAAAAATGCAGATTCCTGGCCTCACCTTAGAAAACTTAATTCACTGTATCAGAGGTGGAGCCAAGAGTCATGAATTCAAACTCCCTAATCTATAGACCCCATTTTTATATTCTAAACAAGGTTTAGACTGTGACCAGCCTTGTGTTTTAAAAATGGCAGCATTCTTAACCCACATCATCCAATATGGCAGCCACTTGCCACACGTGACTTTTTAAAATTAAAAAAAAATTTTTTTTTCTAGTTCCCTGACCAGAGACTGAATCCCGGCTCCCTGAGTTGGGAGTGCAGAGTCTTATCCACTGCACCACCAGGGAAGTCCCTCAAAAGATATATGAATTGCAAGTGAGGGTTGCAGGAGAAAGAGAAGGTGATTCTGAATTTTTAGTATTTCATAGGAATAAAGATTTCATAGGAATAACAAGGAAGAGGAACAGGTTTTTTTTTTTTTTTTTTTTTTTTTTTTGCGGCTGTCGGG